TACCTGTTGCCTCAGATAGAGATGCAGTTTTTTCACACCCACCCAGCTTCCCCTTCTGCCATTTTTCCCACACAGCTCTTTCAGTTTATAGGTCGTAAGTAGTTGGGACTGTGTAAACCAGTCAGCGGAGCCAAATGGTGAACTATGGTTGTTTTCCTTCTTATAAAATCTTTTATATATTTACTTTGTTATGCACCCACCTGATATTTTTTCTACAACATGTTGATCAAATAACTATCAATTTTATTTTCCAAATGATCAAACAATCAATTTTATTCCCCAGCCCCCACCCCCACCCTCACCCCCGCAACATCCTTCCAAGTCTTCTGTCCTCCTGTCCAATGGAGATGAGGTTTCTAAATTGAAATTGTTCATTTATAAGTTTGTAGAAATTGCTCTTTTATCTTCTAGCATCCAGTGTTGCTGTTGAGAATTTCATTGCTACCCTTATTCCATTCTTTTGTGACCTGCAATTTTTCTTTCTGGAAACTTTTAGAAGAATCCCTTTACCTCTTATATTCTGAAATTTCATAATTATGTACTGGGTCAATGGCGAAGATTTGCCTAAGTTCAAATCATGCCTCTACTACATGACCTTGGGCAAGACACTTATTCTTGCTATGCTTCAGTTTCCTAATTTATAACAATAGAATATATGTATGTATTTTACATATATTATAATGGAAGTAATAATAGTAATTTCCTCACTGATACATCTCAGCCACTTAGAATAGTGCCTAACCACATAGTAAGTCCTTGATTATTGTCCACTCATTTCTTTTTTGAAACTCTTAGTTGGATATTGAATCCTCTAGATTAATCTTAGAATTTTTTTCCTTCCCTTTGGACATCTCTTCATCTTTTGTTCTATTTGGGGGAATAGTTCCTTACTTTACTTTCTATTGATGATTTTATGTCAGCTATTCTAAGAACTCTTTTCATGTTTATGTTATTTTTTTAATGTTTTTATTGATTTTTAGAAAGAGAGTAGGGGAGAGAAACATTCAATCAGCTGCCTCCTGCACATCCCCCACTGGGGATGGAGCCTGCAACCGGGGCATGGGCCTTGACCCAGAATCGAACCAACAACCTTTTGGCGCACGGAACAATGCCCAACCAACTGAGCCACACCAGCCAAGGCGTTTTATGTTATTTTTAAAATAGATTTCTATGAACATGGTATGGTTGGAATAATTTCTTCTCTCTTTTGAGGACAGTTACTGTAGGGTTTTCTGCTTCTTGCCTTTTCTCTGCTTCCTTTTTTCCCCATGTATTTGTTTTAGTCCCATCATGTTAGAGGCTTTCCTCAAATGCCTGCAAACCTTTGACTATTCATACTTAAGAAGAAAGTCGTAAAACCCACCAGAGACTCTATCTATAGGGGGTGAGAAGGAGTGTGCCTGCACATCGGTATGTTTGACGTATGGTGATCAGGTGAAAGCTGGTCCCTCCATAGGAAGAGCCCCCAAATATCAGAAATGAGAGGTCTGATCTTTTGGGCTCTTCAATTTCTCAGAAGAAATATCTGTATCTCTTTCCTAAAGAGGCATACCTGGCTGCCAATATTCTGGAAGAGGTTGAGAGGGAAGGTACATTACCCCTGTCCTTGTTGCTGCCTGGTGTACAAGCGTCTCTGTTTCTCCTGCTGGAGTTGTGATCACCTGTCTGCAAGGAGTGGAGTGGGGACCTGAGGATCTAACAACTCCAAATGCCCACATTCACTCAGCCCCGGCTTCTCATCTCTCCTTCAGTTTTGGAATCCCTGGGCCTCTCAGCAGCACCTCCCTCTCATGGTCTATGGCATCTTCAAGACCCAGGGGATGCTGGGAGTTTATTGGGTAATTGAGCTATTTCTGTACTGACCTCTGCATTAGAGGGTGGCTTCCACTGTTCTGTTAAATCAGTTTCCACTCTTCCATCTGCCCCATCTTCCAGAGTTGTGTTGAAATATATCTTCTGTGGATGACTCTTCTCCATCCTCTTTGTTCCTGTGGCTTTATCCTTTTTTCATTACTATGATTTCAGGAGACAGTGAAAATAAACAAGTATAGGTCAATCTGTCATCTTTAATATAAAGCCATTTTCAAAATTATCGAGAAGCTTTTATCAAACTGTGTCAACTTTGATTAGATAGCTTTGTGCCCCCTGACTGGCTACCGACTGCTGTACTGATGGGTTAGGTTGGTGAAGAAGGTCCTCGGGGACCATTTTATTTTATTTTTGTTTTTAAATACATTTTATTGATTTTTTACAGAGATGAAGGGAGAGGGACAGAGAGTCAGAAACATCGATGAGAGAGAAACATCGATCAGCTGCCTCCTGCACACTCCCCACTGGGGATGTGCCCGCAACCAAGGTACATGCCCTTGACCGGAATCAAACCCGGGACCCTTAAGTCCGCAGGCCGATGCTCTATCCACTGAGCCAAACCGGTTAGAGCGTCGGAGACCATTTTAAATTGTTACCTTTATTTTAGTTCTTTTGGCAGAAGAATTGTAAATGAATGTGAAAGTTCCTGCCACAGCCATCATGAGAGTATTTCTCCGTAAACATCTGTATCCGTAAATACTTAAGCACAGCAGTGGTTCCCAAAGTGCCTGTTTGCCCACTACA